AAACACAAAATATAGAGATGGAGCAATCTACAAATAAAAATACGATGGTCTCTATGTCACGATAGTTTCAATTTTGCATAGTTTGAACAAAATTTTGTCATAGAAACTATTCAAAATACAATAGATGCATTCTGTGCATGTGGATCTAATGTTGCATTCAAACAAAAGATAAAAATAATGGAATGCTCTACACTAATTAATACTTTCGTTACACAAGATTTAACGTGAAAGAATTATGAAAAAAATATAAATAAAACACAACTAAAAAGAAATGTATCCGAATAGTGCCCATCTTTGAATGCCTGTTGAGTTTGCATGTATTGTGAATATATTGTTCAAATTTATTGTTTATTTTTTTAACTTTTAGGTGGGTTTTATTGTGTTGTTGGAAGGTGTTTTTTTGTCTACTAGCATCACCTATAATCGTTTTCGTAAACTATAAATTATAAAACGAAGAAATAAGTAAGATGTAAAATTTAAATGTAAACTAACTTAAATTTTTTACTTAGAAGTTTTCAAAAATTTAAATGGAATGTTCTACTTGTGGAACAGTCTCTAACAACGGTTTTAAAAAACCTGATAATGGCCTGTAGGAGTAGACTGAAAATGTTAGTAATTAAAATAATTCTCTGTCAGCAAATGCATTGAGGATGGTAAATTTGTAATTCTTNAATAAAAAAGTCCCAGTCAATTATTTTAGAAAGGGTACATATAAACTTTTGGAAAGGCTAAATATGAGCGAGAGGATTAATTACCAACAAAATTAAACAGCAAAAGAATTTAAAAAGTTCAAAGTCCGTATGTGTTCGAGAATTTCCTATAGGACCCGCAACCCAGGTTTGTCGTTAATTAATATTTAATAGTGGATACACGGGAGCGAAGGAATAATATCGTAAAGTACGTGAAAATATAATTAACATTTAATGTTGTGGTAAATTTTCATAACTACCGTCGTTGTCGATTAAAAATAGCTCTGTGCCGAAAAAGCTGACCATGTCGATCACAACACATACACGTGGATGCAGTCAGCCATTACCGCAAATGAAAATGGTAACTATAATGTATGCTTGTCAATGTATATAAAGATTAACATTATTAACATTTAAAACAATGGCAATTAGTGCAATCAATGCAGTTACAACTTAAGAAAACATGATAAAACGTCTCTAGTAAAAAACAATTGTAAATAGCTTTATTAAATTCTTGCAATTAGTTCATCCAATGTAATATATGAAAAGTGTACAGTTTACTCATCTGAAGAAACCGTATATTGCGGCTTCGGTTGTCAGTTTGCCAGTGGAAGAAGCAGAATATAAGAGAATAACAATATTTTCTTATATATATCCCATTGTCATCATTTTAACTTAAAAAGAATCTCTAATATTTTAAGTTTTCCTTTAGACAAAAGACGTTTCATAAAATGTGTTCACGGCTTGTATAAAAATTTCACGCTTTCTTCAATTTTACTAATCCAGAAAACACAAAATGTAGAAAAGGAGCAATCTACAAATAAAAATACGATGGTCTCTATGTCACGATAGTTTCAATTTTGCATAGTTTGAACAAAATTTTGTCATAAAAACTATTCAAAATACAACAGATGCATTCTGTGAATCTGGCTCTAACGCTACATTCAAACAAAAGATAAAAATAATGGAATGCTCTACACTAATTAATACTTTCGTTACACAAGATTTAACATGAAAGAATTAGGAAAAAAATATAAATAAAACACAACTAAAAAGAAATGTATCCGAATAGTGCCCATCTTTGAATGCCTGTGGAGTTTGCATGTATTGTGAATATATTGTTCAAATTTATTGTTTATTTTATTAACATTTAAGTGGGTTTTATTGTGTTGTTGGAAGGTGTTTTTTTTTCTACTAGCATCACCTATAATTGTTTTCGTAAACTATTAAATATAATACGAAGAAATAAGTAAGATGTTTTCAAAAACTAAAATTTAAATGGAATGTTCTACTTGTAAAACAGTCTCTAACAACGGTTTTAAGAAACCTGTTGATGGCCTATAGGATTAGACTGAAAATGTTAGTAATTAAAATAATTCTCTGTCAGCTAATGCATTGAGGGTCGTAAATTTGTAATTCCTATAAAATATTGAAACTGGAATTTAATTTAATTCTTATATATTTACAGGTGGTAAGGGGATTATATTCTATTTTTTTCTTCCTTTGTTCAGTTTAGTGTTGCTTTGCAACAAAAGAAAAAATGTTCTGTTTGACGTTCATTTCAAATATAATATATCTTCCCACACGACGAAATTATAACTGTAGGCTCATTAAATAAATGGAAATAAATGGAAGTATGCTTTACAAAAATCGAGTGGATAAAATCACCGAATAATGGTGATTTGTCTGTACTTTATGAACATCTAGATTAAAGTTTACGTACTTCAGCTAAAAAGAATATGAAAATTATTTCTTAGAAACTGTCTGCGTGCCTTGCATTTTTCCTTAGTGCCCTGAAGCTGATACTAAAATTTATCCTCCACTGAAATACTTTCATTTTCATAAATCCCTTTAAACGGACGCCAAAACTTAAGCCACCCTCTGTGGTTACCATCAATTTCACCAATTCCAACTTTGGCAAGCGATACTGTGACTTCTGACCTGCCGGTAACTCGTCCGCAGAATCTCTGACACTTCCGATGTCTACGTCTTTGGTTAGCATCATCAATCTGGTCTCCAACATCATATATCTGCTTTGGTAGTCGGCAACGGTATGGGCTTCAGACGAAAATTCGTCCTCATTCTGGGAAATCTTCCCTTTTACCGATGGATCTAACTCTACCAGTCTCTTGTCATTGTAGACCAGCGGTTCTTAACCTTTTTAGTAGTCAGCACCCCCTTGAATCTGAAAATAAGCTCTTGCACCCCCTTAAAAATGTATGTATATTTTTTGTTAAAGAAAAAACATTTATTGCATAAACAAATGCCGCGTTTATTTATAATATATATTACTATATAACGTAAAAAGCAATATTTAAATTTNGGTTTTAAAAAACCTGATAATGGCCTGTAGGAGTAGATTGAAAATGTTAGTAATTAAAATAATTCTCTGTCAGCAAATGCATTGAGGGTGGTAAATTTGTAATTCTTATAAAATATTGAAATTGTAATTTAATTTAATTCTTATATATTTGCAGGTAGTGAGCGGATATTCTATTTTTTCTTCCTTTGTTCAGTTAAGTGTTGCTTTGCAACAAAAGAAAAAATGTTCTGTTTGACGTTCACTTCAAATATAATATATCTTCCCACACGAGGAAATTATAACTGCAGGCTCATTGAATAAATGGAAATAAATGGAAGTATGCTTTACAAAAATCGAGTGGATGAAATCACCGAATAATGCTGATTTGTCTTTACTTTATGAACATCTAGATTAGAGTTTACGTACTTCGGCTAAAAAGAATATGAAAATTACTTCTTAGGAACTATCTACGAGCCTTGGATTTCTCCTTAGTGCCCTGAAGCTGATACTAAAATTTATCTTCCACTAAAATACTTTCGTTTTCATAAATCCCTTTAAACGGACGCCAAAACTTAAGCCACCCTCTGTGGTTACCATCAAATTCACCAATTCTAACTTTGGCAAGCGATACTGTTACTTCTGACCTGCCGGTAACTCGTCCGCAGAATCTCTGACACTTCCGATGTCTACGTCTTTGGTTAGCATCTTCAATCTGGTTTCCAACAGCATATATCTGCTTTGGTAGTTGGCAACGGAATGGGCTTCAGACGAGAATTCGTCCTCATTCTGGGAAATCTTCCCTTTTACACATGGATCTAACTCTACCAGTCTGTTGTCATTGTAGACCAGTGGTTCTTAACCTTTTTAGGTGTCAGCACCCCCCTTGAATCTCAAAATAAGCTTTGCACCCCGTGCCAGCCCGAGGCAAGTTTTGGGATGGAACTAGATCATATTACGGCCCTTAATATATACCCTTTAATTTTCTTTACATTGAGGCGCCCCCTAGGACTTAGCGCCTGGAGCGGCTGCTCCGTTCGCTTTATGGTAGGACCGGCTCTGCTTGCACCCCCTTAAAAATGTGTGTATATTTTTTGTTAAAGAAAAAACATTTATTGCATAAACAAATGCCGCGTTTATTTACAATATATATTACTATATAACGTAAAAAGCAATATTTAAATTTTAATGACTCAGTTGTTGTTGTTTACTTATAATAATTCTATTATAACGAGGCTCTTTTTTTGAAAGAGCCATGTGTAAGTCATCAGATGTATTTAAGCGATTTTTGGCTTTTGTTTTGATGGGCAAAAGTGCTGTATTCATGGTATGCAACGACGTCGCAACTAGTTTCTCTACTGCACGTGACAATGTGACTACATTAACTGCATGTACTGACGACTGATGACAAGCACTATGTAATGAGAGACAGTAGAGTAGAGAGTGAAGAAGTGAGTGCCGTGTTGCTGGGTACCACGATTTGTAGAGAACACAGCCGCCTCGTTCTTACTTTTTAATATTTTTGAAATTTCTCTCACATTCCTGGAAATGCTCTCTCGTACCCTCAGAGGTCCACGCACCCCAGGTTAAGAACCGCTGTTGTAGACAAACAACCCCACAAAAGATCTACCACAGTTTTATCAGTATTAACCGTAAGTTCACTCAACGTTTTCATCAAGCTTATTCGAACTCCTTTTTGCTGTACTAAATTTCTCTATCTTACAGCATCCTGTCGACTGCCACAGATGTTATAACACGACGTTGTTGAACGAAATCAGACATGTCCTAAACGAAACAAAACGTTTATTTATCTTGGAAATATACAGTCATATGACAGCAAATATAAGTTTACAGAGACCTTCCGCTGTAAAAAGAACCCGAGAACACAGCTGAAAAAAAACGTGGACTTTTATGTTCCTCACTAGGGGCGCCCTGACATTATTAAAAAGAGCTAATAATATAATTTCCACAATTGTCAAATTCGATTGTTGATTACAAGCGATTGTTGTCGAATGCGATTTGTTCGAAAGCGAAATACTTTTGCAAAAATGAATGCTGAAAGTAAGTTAAATTATCAGATTATTTGTATAATTTTACTGATTAGTTTACAGCGTGTCCATAATGCTATAATAAACAATGTTATTGTCCTAACATTTTAAAATAAGGGTTAAATGATGAATAAAATTATTATAAAATCAATACGATTAGCATCGGTGCTACATTATTTGCTTTCAATGGGATGTTTATTGTCATTAATAACATTTGCATTATAAATCAAATTCTTATTTGAATTCAAGGAAAATAACGGGATATTTTATTATTTATATTCGTGAAGTTGCATTAAATAGACAAATATAAAAATAATCACTATAATAATTAATAAATAATCGAAATGGGTTGATAACAATAACAATAATTTAATCGCAGAGCCTAAAGGGTTAAGAACTTGATCGTGACTTGCAGCTTTGTTTTTTACAGTTTATTGTTTCATTAATACAATTAAGTATATCAATAGTCTGTTAGAAAATAAATAATTATTAAAAAATGTTTTTTTACAGGTTATCAGTGCTTTTCTAATGAAGTTTATTCGTCATTTGGATATGACAATTATGTTCTGTATGCTTATCAGGTCAGTGTAATAGAAAATTTTACTTTATGTCTTAGATAAACGTAAAATAAATAATATTTAATGTATGCTTGTTATATTTCAACTACGTAACATATATTTGATTACGTAGTTAAAACATAACAAGCATATATTTGATTATCAATATGAACTAAATACTATTTTTGTGATATTATGAATTCAGAAATACAATATCGAAAAACTTAAATGAGTTAATAATTTCAATAAATTTCGTATAAGTTTAAAACACTGTTTAACAAAAAATAGCAATTATAAATTGTTTTAATACCCGAAATTTTCTTGTTGACATATTTAAATATCTTGATTAAATTTTGTAATAGAAAACAGAGAAAAATACAAATAAATTTCTACTAAATGTGATGTTAAATTAGAACTTTTTAGAAATTACAATTAACAATGGCAAACAATTTTCAAAATGCATCTTCCTGTATGAAGTATTACCTCTTGTTTGTTGTTGTTAAATTTTATCGAGTCGTCGTCGACTCCTAGTGACTTCATGGACAAGTCTTCTCCATCTTCTCCATACAAAAAATAACAAGAGAAAGATCAAGATGGAGAAGACTTGTCCATGAAAAAAAAGAAAAAGAAAAAAAAAACCTCTTGTTTACTGTGCTACAAATGCATTTTGTATGGTATTTAAAATCTACTTAGACTGCATTCTTTTTATAAAATGCATTAAATATACTGGGAATTTTTCGACCTGTCATGTCTCGATCCAGAGTTCTCCTGAGGGGTAGGCTGCTACTTCGAGCGCTGGAAATCTGGCTGTTTTTCTTTTTTTTTAACTCTGTGTTTTTTGTGGCACTAAGAGGACCTTTTTAACTAGCCATTTATGGGTTGGGCCAGGCCCACAATGGGGCAACCGGGTGGTGAGCGACGGGGCCCAACATATCCAGACAGACCAGCCCCTTAAAAATTCTTGGGGATTTTTCACCGGTCCGGATTCGATCCCGGGTTCCCCAGAGCTGCCAATTTGAATGCATGGTCATCAGGTCATGCAATCTGGCTGTCTGCTGAGATGTATTGTTAGATTATTACAGATAGAAACTTAAGATACGAATTAATAAATTTTTTTATAGTGCAATTTGTTACTTGTTATTTCAGTATACAATATTCTTTGTTCCGTATGAATTATGGACAGGAATGCCTGAATATGGGCCAAATACAGAATGCTCGGAAAGTGGAATACTGCCTGAATATCAGCAGTGCGAACCTCAAGTGGATGAATATGGATATGGCCGGTTCCAGAATACTATGCATATGGGCCGGTTCCAGAATACTATGGATATGGACCGTATGCAAATATATATGGATATGGACCATATGAAAATACATATGAACATGGGCCAGACTCAGAAAATGTCGGATTTGGGCCACAAGTAGATATAAACCAACAGTGGTCGGCTCCAGAATATTATGGTTATGGGCCATATGAAAATACATATGAACATGGGCCAGACTCAGAAAATGTCGGATTTGGGCCACAACTAGATATAAACCAACAGTGGTCGGCTCCAGAATATTATGAATATGGGCCATATGAAAATACATATGAACATGGGCCAGACTCAGAAAATGTCGGATTTGGGCCACAACTAGATATAAACCAACAGTGGTCGGCTCCAGAATATTATG